AGATAAAAGACAATAATATGATATAATTCATATAAGAAAATATATGCATCAATATTTTATATTGATTATATGTATCCATTTATTCTTATATATTTCATTATATCACAATCCATTCTTTTATCAGTCACAATATTATTAGAAACAATCAACATTACTAATACAGTAACAATATTAGTGTCAACAACAATAAAGTTAAATAATATTAATGACAATAAATAATATTAGTGACAGTCATAATATCAATATATTATTCATAGCAGTCTCGATATCATTATTCATATATTCAATGAGTGTATCTTAATGATATCTTGCTCTTGAACTCATGACTCCCAAGCATTCGTCCCTTATAACACCGAATCAATATACTCCTTATAACTCCCCATGAATCATGTGAACCAGTCATCCCGACTCATTATAACTCTCAATTAATCTCCATCTCCTTATGACTCCCAATCAGTGAATCGCGTGGATCAATATGGTATAACATGAGATTATTATATCATGTATTTGTTTTCATTCAATACTTCATTAAAAATATAATAAAATTATATCAAATCATTTAGAATGATCAAACCTATAACATATCCAAACTTGCATGATGAAAACTTATGAAATCATGAGATAATATTTTTTGGTAGATTTAGAAGAGATAAAATTTATAGAAATCAAAATCATTAAAAATAAAAGTAAGATATTAGTCCCTTACAATGAATAGAATAAAATCTGTAAGAGGAATAATTGATAAATACGATCCAAAAGTTATTCTATCTCATCTCTCTTCTCCCCCTCTTTCAATTTTTTACTGACCAAGCAATCAAGTGACGAAGTCGGTGGGGTGAGATAAGTATATATATTATATATACTGTTCAATGCCTAGCACCGCAGCACTCACCAGATCAATGCCAAAGCACTCTACTTCAAAATTTTCCTATTTTTCAAGAAATTTTATTTCACATATTTGGGTTGTTACACTCACAACATTGAATCCTTGCCTCAGCCTAAAAACTAATTAAATCCGCTAATGAGCTTTAACACCCAACAGGTAATCAAAACATATAATTGTACTCAAAGCATGTAGTAATTTAAATCATAATAATCATATTTAGTATGATCACAAATCTATGCAAAATAATAAATTTAGTAATCATAAGTCATAGAAACAATATTAGTATGGATGCTAGAATAATAAAGCCATAAAAAAATTTGTGCACCATTATCAAATCCAAAGGAAGATCATCTCATTAAAGCAATTACAATAATTATTAAAGCCAAACTTCTATACAACTATCCAAAATTCATAACAATGAAAAAGGTAATATAAATCATAACTATATTGTCATAATGTATAGAATCTACACATGGAGATTTATCAGTAATATCTTGTATTTATCTTAATCATATTTATATCTTATTGTTGAAATCAATACCACATCAATAACAGTGTATATATGCATGTATAAGAAATCAAACCAAAAAAAGAAAGAGTTATAACTAGTGTGGTATTTTTTTTTAATGATACATGTATCATATTCATTTAATATCTTAATATTGAATTTAATATATAGGTGGCTTCTTGAAGAATTTTCAGTCTTGAGCTTGACATCTTAACTACTTATAACTCTCAATCTTGATCTTGATCTTGGTCGAGGATATTTCAGTAGCTTCTTGAAGAGTTTTCACTCTTGAGTTTTACCTTCTATAGTCATGTTTTTAAGAATCAATTAATCTTATATCATATATCACAAATTAGGTGGCTTTCATATAAGAAGTCATTATTTCTTTTCCGTTGGCATATCATGTCATATCAGTCAGTCTCCTTATACCTCCATTTTTATATCACCAAGGATTACATCAAAAAATTTATTTTAAAAAAAGTGTCGACCAACCCTCCTATATTGGGTAATATATGTCTACCCAATCTAAATCAGTCAATCATTTCTAACCAATCTTTCTTGCTTTTACATACATTTCACATTATATATATCATAATATGAAACATCATATACACCCAATGCAATTATCATTATACTCATAAGTACGTCGATCTATAGTATATTAAAAATAAATAATAGACTAAATGAATAATAAGTTAATACATATCATGTATCTCAAGTTCAAAAGAAATGTACTATATTCTAATCATTTTATATTCATTGTTATAATACTCATTTTAATTAAAATGACATACAAGAAAAAAATTGGTAAAATTTTAATATTAGATAATTAAATTATTTAGGGGGTGGG